AGGAGACACAGGAAGTTGGCTGAGTTTCCTCGTGCACTTCTGCGCCGTATATTGATTTGAAGCTCAGACGAGGGCAAAATATAGGGAGGAGGGATGGGCCGGCAGGTTTCATGAACACATCGGTGAAGTATTTCCAAGAACGGTAAACGTTTTTGTTTCGTGTGGCTAAGACTACAAGGGATAAAATTATGGCTGGTTATGACAGATGAAATGTAAAATCAAATTCAGTACTCTTCTTAATTCTGCCAAACGTTAGGGCATTTATCATGTTTCAGTCTCCATTATGGACGCCATTTAGTTATTTTAAGTAATTCATGTTCACAGGTTCAATGAATTATTTTAACAGATCATTAGTTTCTAACGACACTATCACAACTACAAATGCTAATTGCAAAATATAATTTATGGTGCATGTGGTAAAATTCGGAAAACGTGTTCAAATTATCATTGAATCCTCCAATAACAGGGTGACGCCCTGATAATGGAGGCAGCAAGCACTTCTGAAACATCGGAAAATTTCTACCGTACTACAAGGCGCAACAACCCAGAAGACATCCATCTTCGAATAAAAAACGTTCAGTTTTTACATGAAACATAGTACACAGCATGAAATAATCTTCAGAATGACCAGTGGGCTTATTATGTGGTTATAAACTAAACTGGGAGCCTTAAGATCTATGTGACACACGATCCATAAAGAAAAAGCATAAGAATGACCCTTATTTTCAACTGTACTCATACGTAAAATAAATTTCAAAGCCAATATTCAGTCTCTACATGATAATCATACAACCTTTATTTAAATGTCAGAAATATTTTAGCAGTGATTAAACCTGCTGATATACTATACAGGATTACACGAGACCCGTCAGCATAAATGATCATGACAAAACAAACTCCAAATAGGTAAGTCGGTTTTTTGAAACGCAGTCTCTGAGATCATAAAGAAATTCCCAGCCTTTTATGGAAACCGAAGCTGCATCACCGCGATCTCATGAGACTACCTTCAGACATTAGCCTAAACCATCTGCAGCCAATCCACCTTTGCACTCTGTTTCGATACATATTTCTGTATTATCCTCTCAGGGACACTTAGAACTCCCAAAGCAGTCTCTTTCATTCAGGTTCCCCTATTAAAATGCTATGTACAATCCTCAACTACACATAAGTTCAGATTACTGTAAATGCATAATTCATAGAAACAGCGTAGGAACGTAATTCGCTTTCCAGAAGAGTAGTTAACCTTTACTAAATGGCCAGCACTTCTGTTCCCTTTTTCTCCTTTTATATCTCCTTCCCGTTCCCTACTTTTTTCCCTTTGTTTATTTCTGATCTGACTTCGAGTTCAGTGAATTACAATATTAAAAAGATCATTTGTAAAAGACGCTTTGCATTGCGCGGGATAGAAGCCGCTCAAGTTTCAGCATAGTTATGAATTTGCAGCATTAATCGTTTAAAGAACTTCAGTGTTTGTCTTGTCATCAATAAAATTTGTTTGAACACAGTCATCATGGAGCCATCAACCAAGTGAAATGATCACCAACAAAACCTGCATTTTTTAAAATTCTATTACTACACACAATATCAAGAACTTCGCGTTTCTCCTGACTCTCAAGTTCGCTCGGCCGCCATGTCGGTATTATGTAAGATATAAAAGTGAAAACTAAACGTTGCGGTCATTTTTGTTGGCATTATTTTCACGTCAGGTTTTATAAAGATCCGTCCATTGGTTCAAAAGTCATCAGACAGAGAGGGACATCGGTATGATTCCTTAAGCATTTTCCGTTTTACAAGAAAAGCAGAGTAACTAGGTCCAATGATTACGTATTCTGTGATTGCATGGTTAATGCAATAGCACAAACGACTTTAATCCAGGCCTTGGATCGTGCAGGTTAACTCGTAGGTCGCAGACAGCGTGGTACAGTGACCTGTGACATTCGCTCCACTCACACTTTTCAGGAGTTCGGTGATTGTTCACCATGGAAACGCGTAACATGGCGAAGCTTGAAGGAAGGGAATGGAAATATGTCAGAGGTTAATGACCTACTATTTTTCTGATGCCAGGCGTCACGTGTCATTGGTGCCTCTACAACAGACAAAACTTCCTCGGTAATTGATACTTGTTAATTATTTCCGAAGAAATCAGATCTTGTTTAATGGTCATTTTATATAGGAAAGGAATAATGATAAGCACACCACTGTATAACATGCTTGGTGCAGGATCTTAATGCACTTGCAAATACAAAGACGCAGGAGGAATTACTTAATCTTAAATAAGTCTATTAATATGGAGTTATATAGTTCAGAAACACTATTGGTTTTAGTATTAAATGGCTAATGTTTGATGCTACCACGCTAGCAAAATAACATGTCTTGAAGATGGCTGTCTTCCGGGTTGTTGCGCCGTGTAGTCTGGTAGAAGTTTACCGATGTTTCAGAGGTCTTTGTTGCCTCCATCATCAGGGCGATGTGTAAGCCGCGCGGCTGCATGGTGCAAAAATCCAGAAGACAGCCACCTTCAGACTCACGTCCGCTAAAGCCTCAAACCCTACATAAAATATTTTGTTTAATATTTATGAATTACATACTGAGTATTCATGACTCTTCAAAAAGTATCGATCACCAGTCTTAGTAGTGACAAGAAAAAATAACTGCTTGCTCTCGTCTTAAAATCTCCGCATGGAAAAAGTTAATAAACACTGATAATTTGTATGAATTCTCTGCGAAATTATAAATAAAACGGAGGTGCAATTGAGTATCTGTCAGGCCACGTGTTTCACCTCAACAAATACTCAACTGGTGTCGATAACTACATTTTATACTGAGGTCTACAAATCTGTCGGCGGATTTTATTTCGGCCAGTATCGATACAAAATACAAGACACCAAGATCGAATTTAGTTTTTCTCAGCGATGACTCATTTTAAAAATTATTAATGCATACGGCAAAATGAAGATTGTGTCAACACCTATGAAATTATAATCCTTGTCTTTCCGTGCTTATGTTATGTGTCGTGTGAATCAAATGAAAGTTTTTTCGAAAAAGATTAGCTGTATTTTTCAGAGGAAATATAAACATTAACAAATATTTGTTGGGAAAGAATGGAACATATTTATTATTTATTTAGTTTTCTGTCTGACGACAGGTCCATATGAACAGGACCCTTCCATCCTTTTCTCGGACTGGGACCTGTTCATATACGTTCTTGGCAGATGATCCAGAAGTGGTTTGCCATTGCCTTCTTCTGTGTGTGAATGGAGTAATTGTTGGGATGCCACGGAGAAACCGGGGAAGCCCCCGGAGGAAAACTCCGTGTTGCCTAGACCACGGCCTTGCCCAACACAAGTTATAAATCGGGCACCGCCGGGAATCGAACCCGAGACCCCCAGGATTACAAGGCCAGCGTTCTAACCGCTGGACCACCGTGGCTCCTAATGGAACATAGGGGCAACATAAAACGTACTGGAGGGCCACATGCGACTTGAGAGTTGCGAGTTGAGTATCCTTGATGTAACCAATGGTTACCATTAAGAAAGTGGTTAAAGTGTTTCGTATTGGTTACTATGAATCCACCGGTTTCAAATAATTGCAATCAACGCTTAATTGGGAAGCAGTGACGTAACTTGTACAAACAACCAGCGTAATCACATCGAAATCCTCTTAATTAGACTGAGCTCTCTGAATTTCCTTTCGAAACTTTCATCTGACCATGCAGATTTTTTTTTACCCAGCTTCAGAACCAATCTCCATTTAAAGCAGTCGTACTTACCGAATGTATGTCTGTACGTACCCCCCGACAGCAGTACCTGCAGGATAAGACCGGCTGAACGACTGCGCAGCATACAGTGCGCCGCCAAACTGCAACAACACGAGAGGCATCTTCATTATCTGTTCACGCACTTCAATATGTTCAACAAAAACCAGCCCCAGAGCGATTATCAGATCTTCGAAGGGAAAAACCAATTAAGCTTGAAATGGGAACGTTCTCGTGTCTCCCGAACCAGGACCAAAGACTTGTTTGTCGGTTTGTTGTACGACTTTAGCAGATGTCTTACTCAGAAGCATGAAGTTACAGGTTGTGGGATACTGGGCACACTGTACGAAATTCCACGATAAAGGCATCACGCGGTTTCTGGGTCCGTGGGATCGTGGGATGCTCGGCTCAATACTACTTAAACATATTTCAGACAGGTCTTTGAGTAACAAGGCGTGAAGGTGTGGACTGGATTCAGCTGGCTCAGGACAGGACACATAAGTAGGCTCTTGTGAACACGATAATAAACATTCGGGTTCATATAAAATGGGAATCTTTTCGGTCACCTAAATGACCATTAGCTCTGCTCCATTGAGATACTTCTGTAAGTACGTGACGTACAGGCTGCATTACTAATATCTGATAAATTGTCTGACACCAATCAAGTAACTGGTTGCGTAATTGGTGATTAAACATTTATCAACTGGCTGGCCTTATAACTTACTAACGAAATTAATTTCCGACTAACTGGTCAATTAACAGACTGACTATTAACAGTATTCGCTCAATCAGTCCATATTATTATAGCTGTCGTCAAATAACTTAAAATAAAACAGCTGTAACTCCGAATTCAGACATGAGATACAATTACATTTGTAAATCGAGACGTTCTAATAGGGCTATTACCGGTTCTTCAATTTATGCGGTAACGGCCATGCTTGCATTGCGTGCTCGGCCGGGTGCACTGTTGGTGTGGGAGAGAGATAGCGTGTTCTTCCCGTGAGTCACCGGCAAATCAGTTTCAGTGCCGCTAGTAACAGCGAACTACGAATATTTCTCGTCACTAATACATGTTATTACATTAATTGTTCTTACCTTAAATCACAAAATATGTTCAAAGTGACTTCCTTGTGCTCGCAGGCAAGCTTCACATCTCGTTAACATATTTCTAAATACTCGACAAAGCTCTTCTTGGGATATGCCGAAACGAATTGTCGTTTCCTGTTCTTATTTTTATCCAAAACTGATTCCGTACTACGAAATTTTTTACTAAGCTCTCTATCATGGGCCTGCTAGGAACACTTTCACCAGGAAAATGTCTGCGATATTTACGACGGCATCTTCCGTAGGATGAATATTTGGCGTATGTTTGGACTAAGAACACACGTTGCTTAATACTATACACCATATTATCAACGTCAATCCGCGACGAGAGACGCAATGAAACTGATTCGCCGGTGACTCACGGGAAGAACACGCTATCTCTCTCCCACACCAACAGTGCACCCGGCCGAGCACGCAATGCAAGCATGGCCGTTACCGCATAAATTGAAGATCCGGTACTTTATGTTTCGGCGATAACAGAGGATGATAAGTATTATTAAGCGTTTTATTTGCATTTAGTAACAATTGCGCTGAGTTCGAAAGCAACTGATTTGTTTAGGTGTTTGTAAGCAGCTGCAAACGTTCTGTGACTTGTCACACAATTCCTGCTTTGGTGAGCACGATTTCCATTAACGAAAGTAAATACTTGACGCGGGAAGAGTGTTGATGGCGTGAACGACACTTGAGCTGTTTTTCAAGTTTGCTCACGTGCCCTTAATTTAAATACAAAACTTCACTTGCATTTGTGTCACTACCTATTTATTATGTTTCATAGGAAAGTTTAGGCCTTTAAAATTAAAACGGAATTCTATATTTTCAAGTAAAGACCAAAAGTCGAATATTTATGCTGTGTTTTAATAACAACCAATAAGGAATTTTATTAAGCGTAAAGAATTTTAACACGCGTGCAGATAAACTTTTACCATAGCTTTGTGCTGCTGTTTGCGAGTTCGTCTGAAATACAGCTCTGTTGATGTGTAAGATTTTTAATTAAATGCAAAATTGTGTCTAGACTCAGTAACAGCAGCAGAAACTGCCTGTAGTCGATACTTTTTAATAACCAATAAAAATTAAGTGGAAAGAGACACACACTTCAACGCTGGTAATTCTTGATTTCAACAAAATGTTGTGCATTCAAGATAATTGTCTTCTGGGATGTTACGCCGTGTAGCTCGGCAGAAGTTTATAGACGCTTCACAGGTGTTTGCTGATCGTCACCCTGATGATGGAAGTCAATAAACTTCTACCAGACTATACGACGCAATATCACAAAAGACAGTAATCTTCGCACCACCGTGGGAAACTGAAGTCTCAATTTATATATTGAAAAACGAAACATTAGGACACCACAGTTTAGTACTTCCGCCATGTTGTCATTACTAAAAGTAGGAAATAAAAGTGGACGGTTGGGGAGTTTTGGAGTGCCATACCGTCCTTGCCAAGTTTCGTGTAAAACGACCAATTCATTCTATAGTTAAAACAGGTGGTGAGAATTTTTCTTTAAGAAAATAAAGCTATAAAAGCTATCTAACGTCGATTCGGCACTAACGTAAACGAAAGCATGCAAAGTAAAATTATGACTGTTTATAAGGAAAAGCGCACGTCTGATTCAACTCAAGGTTGCTATTTGAATAAAATCAAGGTTAAAGCAACTTCAAAGATCGCACAATTCAAACACGATAATGGTATATTTGCTGTTGTGTGACAGCGGGGAAACCCAGACAACAGTGTACAGTCTATCCCAAAAAGCTTCAAACACATTATAGTACGGAATGTTAACCTTGTATTAATGCTTACTTTAGAGATACCTGTATAAAAAAAACACATGTTAATTTAACTACAGCAAACAATTACGTCACAAAAAGAACTTTATCCTACATCTCTGGCACTGGATGTATCAATACGCTATTTAAACGCTGTCTAAGTCAATGGATGTTCGCTATGTTTGGGATTCTTTCGCAAAGAATTGTCTTTGGACCCACAAGCTGCAAAAGGTAAGAATAGAATAGTAACACGTCTGTCGCTTTGAAGCTTACTGGCATGGTACAATTTAGATACGAATTCAAATCATTGTTGCATTGTATACTTTCTTGTAAAAATCTGTTTATTGTGTAAGATTTGAGGTTTTCACAGCGATGAGTATGAAGATTTCTGTCTTCTGGGTTGTTGCGCTGTGTATTCTGGTCGATGTTAACCAACGTTTCGGAGGTCATACTGCCTCCGTCATCAGGGCGATTCTTAGTATGAATATTTCTGTCTTCTGGGTTGTTGCGCTGTGTATTCTGGTCGATGTTAACCAACGTTTCGGAGGTCATACTGCCTCCGTCATCAGGGCGATTCTTAGTATGAATATTTCTGTCTTCTGGGTTGTTGCGCTGTGTATTCTGGTCGATGTTAACCAACGTTTCGGAGGTCATACTGCCTCCGTCATCAGGGCGATTCTTAGTATGAATATTTCTGTCTTCTGGGTTGTTGCGCTGTGTATTCTGGTCGATGTTAACCAACGTTTCGGAGGTCATACTGCCTCCGTCATCAGGGCGATTCTTAGTATGAAGATTTCTGTCTACTGGGTTGTTGCGCCGTGTAGTCTGGTCAGACTACACGGCGCAACAACTCAGAAGACAGAAATCTTCAAATCTGTTTATTGATGGTGTTGAAGACGAATTCAGCAACCTAAAACTTCCTCTCAGGACATTTTAATAGCAACAGTCGTTACTTCAAACTTCTTCTGGGCGTTGGTGCCTTATAGACCCGTAGGTAGATGTCATTGTTTTGGAGAAGCATACGGTCTCCATCTTCAGGGCTGAGATTGTGATGCCTGAAGTGGAAGAATTTAAAAAAAGTTATAGTAATTGATGGCTGAGGGAGTGAGTCAAATCAAAGTTAAGTCGAAGATGGAGGCAACCTGTTTCTCCGAAACGTTAGCATCTACCAAGGAGTGTACACGTTGCCAAAACCCTAAAAAAACATCATCATTTTCAACTCTGTGGAAACCTGAAATTTCTTAATAAATTATTTACAGTCATCCTCAACATATTCGGCTGATACGTCGTTACACAAATTAATAACAGACAACCCGCCATTACTAGAGGCACAATTGATGATTATGCATTTTGCATGTTACCTGCAGCAATTATTCATTCTTATTACATGCTTCCCTAAATAAGAAAACGAAGCACTTTTGTGTAAAAAAATCAAACACCAGTGTTAGTTAAGTGGCTTAATAATGGGCGCACCTGTTTCAGAGTATCAGCAACATGAGTTCTATAAGCAAGATAAAATCAGCCTTGGCCCTAACCATATGCGCTGTAGTGATGTCTCTGCCGGAAGTACACAGCGCTGCGGTAATTGTGTTCCTAATCAACTTATAAATAATTTCGCCTGAACAATGTGTAACATTTAGCAAGAAACACTGCATCTATTAGGGATCTGCCATGTACTTCATATTACTGGTAGTCAGTTTCAGTGTTTGTAATGTACATTTTTCAAATTTGAATAATAACAGTTAATGATATAAACTACGCTCCTCCATTTTATTTAACGGACCTCACTTACAGAGGATTCTTTTAGAAATGTGCATGTTAAATGAATTACTTCGGTGTCGAGATATAAAATGAATTGTGGCATTATTTGATTTCCACATTCTAACTCCATGTAACACAATTCGTTATGAGAAGCTGATAGTCATTCAACTGTTTACGAATTTTTTTGTAACAAGAAGCTTTTACAGTGTTCAAAAGATTTTCAAGTCAGTTCCTTCTACCGAAGTTTTTTCTGATCTTTGGACTTGCCACAAACTTCTTCCTTTCTCGGTTCGATTCCGTTGACACATCGGGCTGTGACACATGGACTACAATCTGAAAATGTTATAATGACGAGCCTGATAATATTTAATGAGCAATAAAGGAGAATAGGTAGGCCAGACATGTAGAAAGCATGGGAGAGATTAATAAATCATGGACGATTTTTACTCGGAGATCCTGAGTAGGAAAAACAATTTGGGAGGCCCAGGTGTGGATGGGGGGATAATATTAATCTTGATATTAAAGAAAATATGATGGGAAGGTGTGAACTTGATTAATTTAGATCAGGATAGGGTCGAGTTAATGGCTCTTGTAAACACAGTATGGACCTTATGGTTTCATAAAAGATTAGGAATGTATTACGGAGTGTCCGGCTATCAGCTTTTCGAGGAAGCTTAGCTTCTCCATAAAGTTAATTACGGCTTGTACTGAACCTTAATATTAACAAAATATTTAAAGAGAGACAGTAAACAATCTGTTAATCAGGCTTCCTATATCATACGATTTACGGAATATTAAGCAATATCTGTTATGTTCGCAGCAGCCAATTGAATTCATCAACTGTAATGCCCCAGTTATTGGCAAAGATTTAAGCTACGCCACAGAAAATGGGCATATTTCAGCACTCACAGAGATAAACGGGACTATGTTTCTGTTTACGGACAACGATTCATCACCCAAGGTAAGATGAATCAAGATGATGATAAAGCGACGCCTTTCAAACTGCGTGTGTTATACAGCGTCGAATCATAAACTAGGAAGCACGTGCAGGTAGCGGCCGTGGCCCACTTAATCTGCTTGTAACTTCTTCGTGAACGTAGTTTGTCGGTGCAGACTTCTTTGCTTGATTCCAACCACCACTACTACTACTACTACTACTACTACTACTACTAATAATAATAATAATAATAATAAGCCGTCACTTTCCGCTTGTAAATACGTGTGTATTAAATTAATTTTACGCAACTTCACTTAATAAAGAATGCAAAGACCCAGCGTAAAGTGACATGAAAATCCGTTCTTACACGCGGACAGACATGACGAAGTGAACAAGACATCTTTGCAGCTTTGTTGCTAAAGTGACTGGACACAAAGGGGTACAACATCACAAAGATCATCTAGTATTTACAACCTTGCAGTCGTAAGATGATAAGACTTATTAAATACCAAATAGGTAAATGCTAAAATCTCTGACAGTCGTATATTAGCATAAGTGTGTTTTTGGACATTGTACATTCCAAACAGAACACAGCATGACGTTTCGACAATTATATCTTCATCCTTTGGTAGAAGAGTGGGCGTAACTACTGGGCCCGTTAGAAAAATACTTCTTAAAAGATGGTAGCGGTAGGCAATATGTGATGTTTCTGGCCCGCTGGGTTCATTTTACAGTTTTTGTTGTAAATTTTAATATCTCTCGTCGACAAACCAGAGGCTTCTGTAGTTTTAGCTGACTTACTCTGGTTGCACATTGCTTTAGATTATCTGTTTCTAACGGGGTTATGGAGTAATTTCTAATCGAATAGCTACACCCAACTTTTCACTTCAAGACGCAAACCGATGCGGTGTTGGAAACGAGATATAAGAAGTGTAATAAGTTCTGAAGCACAGCTCAATCACTAATGAAAAACTCCGCTTTATGCATTGTCTAATTCATGGTTTGTTCTTTTCTTGTTTTAAATTTCAGTGGCTTTTCTACATGGGAGATTTCGACATCAAGTCACATACACGTAACTTAGGAAACCTGACGGACGTTCGAAGAACTGTACTTGACCTTGCATATACATTAAATGAAAAGAAATATTGTCTGCGACTTTCGCTGTAAACAGATTACATTAAGTGTATTTTTGTACCTTGTAAGAATTATATTTGTACATTAAATAAACGCAGATGTTTTAATATACGCTGTATGATATTAAAAATATTAAACTTATTTTTATATATTTAATAAATAGACAATTCTTTGTCGTTTCGTACAACTGTATGTAAATTGGACGTATCACAAATAAATAATATTCTAAAACTGTCAACCAAGATGTTTAAAGCGTCTACATAATATTTCACAATAAAGACAGAGTTACTCATGACCACGTGACAAAATAGCGTATATCACTGAGATTGTTAACATTTTATACTGTGAATGGCTAATACTAAGTAATTCAATTCAGTTCTTTACTTTAACGTGCTAACTCAACACATACACAAACCAATTCCAGGGTCAACGTAAGAAAATAACACAGACATAAAACGCAGAACACAGCAAACACAGTAAAACATTGCAAAGTACATAACGATTCTGAGGACAGTAAAAATGGAAATTTCCTATTAATCGATTTAAACAAAAGATTTGTGTTAAAAATTTTGTTATCAAACAAGTTGTTATTATGCAGGATTTGAGGTTTTTGCGGCTGTGAGTCTGAACATGGCTGTCTTCTGGGCTGTTGCGCCGTTAATTCTGGTACCAGACTACACGGCGCAACAGCCCAGAAGACAGCCATCTTCAAGTTGTTATTAGGAATATTACGAATCTCACTGCCAACGGGGCATTTGCCGGGTTAAGACGAACTGAGCAAAGTACTGAACTTTCCAAAGTTTCTGTTTGGATTTGTGATAGAGTTTCCAAAATCGTAATGATAATAATATTGTGTACTGGGGTATGCTGTAACACACACTTTTGACATTTAGCGTGTTAAATGGAGGGCCCCTATAGAATTACGTGTTCACGTAAGTGACAAGGTAGAGTATAAGTCTTGAAGGACAACGTTTCTTATCTAAGAACGTGAGTAGGACTGGACATGTGACTTGGAACTTCAGTTCTGTATTCTCTTGTAGCGTCCTTTGCAACGGAAGGGGTTTGGAAGCTTCTCAGCAGTCGCCAAAACACAAACATTTCCTGCAGTCTGACACAACTTGTAGCAAGTGAGGACATATTTATCAGGTAGATCGTAGAAATAAACTGATCACAGGATGTGCTATTAGTGTCCCCCGCTCCAATTTTCAGAATCAAGTAGCCTAGTGAAGTGTTTCACGGACCGTGAGCCGTCTGCAAATTCTAGCAAGCGTCGTATCATATAAATTACTACAGCTGGAAAAAGTACTTTTTAGATCGTATGAGGAATATCTGACAAACGACAGCTCGGAAATCGGCCATATTCCTGTCTCCTGGTGGGTATTTTTCATAACATTGACGTACGTATCTGTTGCTGATTCTGTTTTAATATTAGTGGCGACAGACGGGGTAGAACCCGGACATTTTGAATACTGTGTTAATATACTAACCACCAGACACTGACAGAAGTCTTGAGATATTAACTGGAAATAATTTATTACAATTTTAGAGCAAGGTGCTTTTTCAATTTTATTTTCGGGATTAAATAGTAAGCGTGTGGTAAAGTGAATCTACATTTCTTTGAAGCTGAAACTTGGAATGTTGTGGTATCTGAAGCAAATTAACCTACCAAGTGCCTCACTCGTGATTTATAATATTATTATTTTGTTTTAGAATTGCTACCAAATGCAATCTGTCCAAATCATGGTGCTATTTATGACAACACAATCATTTGTTTTCCTTTCATTTCTCCTTGTACTTCGGAAATATGACGTAACAGTGAGTAGAAGCATTTCCAATTTTGATATTTTTAAACCTCAAGTTTATGAATTTCGGTGTTTTTACAATTAACAAGCAACCACGATTTATAAAACTTCCTTCTACGAGCTTGTACCACACATTCACCGCAATTTACGTTTCGGGAATAATTATTTATGTTTCAAATGAATGGCTTCGCTGTTTGACAAAATGTTTATTTCCAACCGACTGCACTGAGTAGCCTATTGAGGGCGCCAATTGTTCTTGCGTCTTAGTTTATTCAACGATGCAGCAGACGAGAGAGAGAGACGCGAAAGCCATCTTCGTAGTTGCCGCCGTGAGAACCTTAAATCCGACTTTTAAAAGTACAATATGCAATGCACGTGACATTGTAATTTGGTTGTCACGTTTCAACTTTTACTTCCAGTGGGTTTATTATCGTTCGATGTTCACTTTGGCGAATGGTACCAACCTTTAAAACCAGACACAGACAAAGTTGTGTTCGAGATAAATTTCACTGTCGGCAACACGACACACTGCAGACGATTCCACATCAACAAATCCTGGTAATAGTGAAATACGTCGCTGGTAAACAGGGTCATTTTTAGACTACGAACTTGAATTATATGTGAGAACATCGCACCTGGTGGTTGATCTTAGAAAGTAAGGATTGTGAGAACATCTCATCTCACGAGAATTGAAGTTGCTATGGCTGTGTATATGCGGATCGTGGTATCTGGAGTTATTTCGGAGAAACGTTATGAATAATCATCTACAAGGCAACATGGCGTCATAGCCTATAAGACCACAATCCACAATGTCGCACTTGCGTTTGTACGTATAAAGTAAAAACTGTGATAACATTGCATCTTGTTTTAGAAAGTGAACGATTTTTAGAACACAGCACGCTCTATTTGTCAAACAATCTGACAACTGTAAGAACATCGTACCGTGTCTTTTGGTCCATCAAGTTGAAAGACTGGGTAAAATGGCACCATACATTATTGGTATAAGAACATTAAAACATTTGGAGAATAAATCATATTACATTGAAATACTAACGTGAAACAGAGTTTTTTAACACAAGCATTGGACTGCAGGTAGAAGTATCGAGCTTTCTGCGATTGCCATTTGAATTGCAGAGACATCTAGCGGCCAACTTATAAACTACCAGATACGGTCCAGATAAGGTAAATGTCTCCTCGAAATGGAAGTTCTCGCTGTTTCCATCTTGAAAGTCAATATCGAAACATAATCTAGTTAGACAAGATCCGACAACGCCTGAGAAGATGAACCAAGATTATCTGAAATGTTGCAGTGTAGTTACAAATTAATTGAAAGAACATCAGTATAATCTATTATAGGCATGGCTTGAGAATTAAATTATTTTAATTTGTGGGTTGCAATTCCCAGATCCGAATATGATGAATGGCCTGCAGCGAATTTAATTTCGTAATAAAATTTTGTTTCTACAAGCGAAATAAAGTCCGTCTTTGCTTGACGTTTCCTTTTCTGACGTACAAACACAAACGCATTAAACGTTTTCAAACAAAAAATTATTTTGAGGACCTTTTCGCCTTCATTCGACGTCGTCAGTGTCAGTCAGAGTTGTTAAACTGGTTCAAACGAGTTGATTCTGAAGGGTTTTGACGATAGTGTAATACTAACTAACTAACTAACTAACTAGATGGCTTACCGAACCCGAAGGTTCATCACCGAATTAACCAAAGCCCTCCACCGGACCCTGTCCTGGGCCAACAAAATCCAGTCTCCTTCAACTCCTATCTCCCATAGATTTGTGTGGGGGGGGTGGGGGGGGGGGGCATTTTCTGGAAAGAGACTTGTCTGGACACGTCACTATATGCGATAAACAGCAGCGGAAATATTTTCTTCTCTCTCCTCTGAGTCTGAGGTAACATCTTCATACCGGACACAACTAACTTCAGCTGTCAGCTCCACAGTTGTTACGAACAGCACATGGCATATACATATTTTTTTTTGGAAATTTTACAAAAACGCTGTCTCCCATGAGGACAATTTCCCTGAACTGGAATGTTTTTGCTTTGTCTCTCCGTCACTTAATTTTTTCAAATCAAATCTTTCTGTGTCAAAATTTTGTTTAGTTCGTCTACTTACTGAAAGCCGCTCCCTCACTTTTGCTACCACCAGATAATGATCAGTGTCGCAATCTGCTCCTCTGAATGATCTCATACGATCTGGAATATTGGGATTTTAGAACTTGTCCATCGTCTTATGTTATAAAATACACAAGTGACAGAAATCATCTCATTCTAACAGACCCCGACATTTCATTCTTTTGTACCGATTCTTTACACAATGTTAATTAATGCGCATTTACGTAGGCGTATAATGACAAACTACATTAATTATAGCATAAAGTTGCTTTTATGATTCCAGCTGGAATTTTGACTGATGTAGTCATTTCACACAGTACATCCCAATACAGACAATAATGTAATGCGTTATATGAAGTTGTGACGTCAACGGGGTCTCGAAGGCATAGATATTACAAATCTAAATAACTTCATTAAACTGGAACCATCATTCGAAATATTACTGGCATTTATTATACGAACAGAGAAACAGTTGATTTGATGTAACACCAACCTAGAATTTCTGTTGCCTAGCAACTGATAATAATTATAGCAGCATAAAATATATTTATCGCTTTCGGCTTTCTGGCTCTATATTCATTTCTTTCCACATTTCTTCTGTATTTCACAATTATTTTGCTTTTATCTTCCCCTGTTCCTTGAAAACTTGAAACGCAGAGAAATTTCCGTTCCTTATTTAAGAAACACTATAAAGACTCGTTATGTTTTGTTCTATATAAAAAGGATCAACTGCAGAAAAAAAAAGTTCGGCCAATAAATATTTAGATTTTATTTCAAACGAAAACCATGCTTACTTTTACGTCAGCTTTGATGGCTGAAGTTTGGAATATATAGGCTTATATGTTTGTTCTACTTATTAATTTTTCACGAAATTTCTGAAGGGACAAGGTGAGGTGAATTTATCCCTCGTACTTAAATAAGCATCACGCCATGAAAGTTAAGTGGAGTTATAGCTCCACTCTTTCTTGACCTCGACACTAGATGGGGGTGAGCGGTCAGCTTCACGCTCCAGCCCGCTTTACCCCCGGGGGAAGAATCCGTGGTATCACTGAACAAGAGTCTGGGCGAGCCCCGAAACTAGTCTGTATGCGGTAGTCAAGAGAAACATCTCAACACATGCCGGGAATCGAACGCAAGTTGTCCGGTTCTTAGTCTAGTCATTAATTTGTAAAATTACCTCAATATATTAATATATTCATCCGACTGTAAATCGCCTAAAGGAATAATTTCATAGCTGAAGGAGAATTTGCAGTGCGTTGCATTTCTGTGAGGCTTCCGGTTTTTTGCCTAAAATCACAAAGTTTAAAATATACAAACCTATCGAAGTTACTCGTAACATGGGTAACAAGGGTGTTTAAGAACGGGATGATAAGTAGAATATTTGGGCCGAAGAGGGTTGAAGTGACAGGAGACTGGATAAAACTGCGTAATTTCTATGTTGGCCACTACGATGACGAGACGGACGAGGTTTGTATGTACAATAAAAGAACACCAAGACCTTCCTGCACTTCTTTTAATCGCCGAGGGTTATTTACAGGAACGGAATTTCTGAAAAGTGATGGAGTTAGAGTTCATAAGAAAAGGAAATAAGGAACATATTATGCAGTGACTAATTTATTTTCCGTCAAACAACTGTGATCTCATACACAGGGTTTACGTCATGTAAGTGGCTAAAATCATAGCATAAACACGTGACACAATGGGATCAAAATAAAGATCTATTGTTATCTAACATCTCACTTTAGTCGCATATCGACTGAGCAGCTTGGAGGAGTCGTAACACGCTTATCTTGCATTTACTTATTTATGTTTCATTCGACTACGCTGTTATTAGTTCAAAATATGGCGTCGGATTATAGGATGAATAATGGATTGGAACGTACATGGAAGGAGAGGCCTAATTTTAGATACTATCCCGGAATTTATCTGGAAAACCCTAGGAAAACCACGAAAAACATCGATTGATGCGTTTCCCAAAAATGATATTGTTGCAAAAGTTCGGCGATTGGATTTTGCTGGCCCAGGACAGGGATCGGTTGAGGGCTTTGGTTAATTCGGTGATGAACCTTCGGGTTCCCCAAGCCAACTAGTTAGTTAATTTACATAACTTTGGATTTATTCAGTCCCCTTTTGCATGCATATCACAAGGCTTCATTGCGGTTTCTCCCCTTTCAATCGAAAAATTATTATTTATTTAACGAATGCGATATGAATAAAATGTTCACGATATTTAAATTATTCACGATTTCAAAGTTTCACGCTAAGTAACAGTGGCAAATAATACTGCTCATGTACACACACATACACACAAGCACGCGCGCTCGCATTGCGTCAGTGCAAAAATCAGGGCTACGACTCATTGTATTCCAAGAAATTGGTAATCAATCGGACGTTTCATCTACGTCACTGGTCCTGAAAAGCTTCCTGAGGAAGAACTCCATTCACACACGTACCCAAATGAAGTCCAGCGACGTCCAAGGAACCGAATATAAAACAGTTTACAATTTAACTTCGCAGTATTCTGCCATCGTTTCAACAAACGAAGCTGTCACTACATTTCAAACAGAAGTGAATAGAGAGTGGATGATGGGTTCCAGTTAAGTGAAAACTTAAACAAATAAATGACAAGTTCATTCCATTATTAGGGCCACCTGTAACCTTGGGGTCAGGCAACGCTTTCCTGGGTCTGCGCTGTCTGTTCAGGAACAGCCAGATAACAGCGGGTCTCTTCGCCAGACTTTCCCTCAGCTCTGGCAAAGGTAAGACGTGGACGTAGGATGTGCCAGTCCTGCTTCGACATTACGAGGACTGACCCTCACAGCATTACCGAGGACAGAAGACATTACGAGGACTGACACATGCGGATGAACGTTAGTTAAGTCGGATACAAAGACACGTCATCTTATGCTTCAGTCTCAGTTCACCATTCAGAGTAATCATTATCATCTTCGCCATTAATTTGTAAAGTTGAAACGATGCCTTTCAGTAATCCATGATATCAACAGCGTCAAACTCTCAAACGGAAATAAAGATTTGTAGCCCGAAATTGCTTCCTAACAGCGCTACGGCTGTACAAAATGTTAGGTCCTTCTCAACGTAAAGACCCGAATTAAGGTCCAATCCCACAGAGTCGACGTGTGATTTGTTGAAGACAGACTGGTACTGGGGAAGAAGATCTTCCTCCCAGTAAGCCCGTTCTCTCTTATTATTCATCATTCCACTACGAAAAACTTCGGTCCTTCCACCCGGCAGCTAGGCCGAGGTAGAGCCCTCAACTTCATATGTTATTCTTCCTTATTACCTGTTAAACATTCACCACATCTAAAATATCAAGTCTATAAGTCACAGACGTGAAAGATAACATGTATTTTATGTTGTGCAGTTTTTTGAAAGAAGGCTCAATTTTTAGAACGGTGATAAATTTCGATTTCAGCTTCATGTGAAGTAAGGGTTATATTGGGAAGATAACGAACTGAAATAAATTTTGCACCGTAACTCTTATTTTAGACAAGAATTCAAAGTTTGGCCAATTTCCGTTCAGTACATTCGGAGATCGGAGTTTACATCTGTGAGGCTGAACCGATGGACGCATTGGAATATATCAGGCATTCATTTTATGCACTTCGCAGAAAGACCGCATTGCATTAATTGCAATTCAATATAACTCAATGCGTTCGTCTTGTATTGATCCATGAACATCACTGGTCGTTTTATGAATGTACGAGCCAGCTTAGCTTGTAGCTCTTTACGGGTCACACAGGAGGTATATGAACTCTTTGTGGTACAGGCTACAGTGCTATTACTCAGAAAATTCACTTCCGTAGGTAAATTAACTTATGACATTATTTCCGTGCTGTGATGAAAAAGCTAATTTCAGTCGCTGGCGTGTTTGTTAATGATGGGGTGAAGAATATCTGGCCAATGGGCCGCCTAGTTTTCTGAATGACATAGCCCAGGGGCGGAGAGTTCAAGTTAACCGTGTTAGCTCGGCCAACACTTCGAGAAATGAAACATTTTGAGGTTCAGCTGTATTATGTACACTGAGACACAGCAGAATCGACCACATAATAAGCATAGTTAGCGAGTTCCAGCCAGGCGTTGTTAGCCAGCTAGTTGAGGCTTACCTGAGATCCTCCGCCTAAACGATATAATTCGAAATAATCCATGAAACTTGATAAAAGCCTGAATATCGATCAGAGACCATGTTACAACATTTTTTCTTACTTGTGATAATTCGTTTTAATGGCCTGTTAGAGGTTCGTGAAAAGGTCAGAGAGTTTACGGTGTACAGACAAGGCACGGATGGTGTTTCCATAGCAACAAGAAGAGTGGGCTTTGATGTGTCAGGAGAGCAGGATAAAAGAAGGGAACCCCCACAAAGGCTTTCAGCGGGTACAAGTTGAATAGTACTACTATTCGAAACGGAAAATGCGACTCTATCAAAATGCATATTCTCATTTGTTTCATTCAAAAAACAACCGAAACAAACATAAATGCTTATACACACATCGAATATTACTACCAGGAACTTTGTGTATTTTTTAAAAAAATTATGCTCTTTTTGCAATGTACATAAAATAAAATTTCGGTTTTAGGTTACTTAATTCCACCGGTTCTAAAACTTAAGTTCATCTTTCACCGTCACTAGTTTCCTTCTTCTCTCCGTTTCTGGCCTATTTGTTAGATGCCCATAAACTATTTGTACTGCGTATTCTGTAAGTCCAAATTTCGAATCGTCACCCGAATACCGACTATAATTAGGAACATAATCATAAAACAGTTGTTAATAATAAGTGACAGATTCAAAATAAATTTTCGTAAGATTTATAACGCCGTGGCCTACCGCTGTTATAAGTTGCTTTTGTAAGTTTCCACTAAAATATATAGACCGAATGAAACGCAAAGAGGTAGCTCAGTAGTTCTTCGTAGTCACTGTTACTGTACACCTCAACTTCACAGCAAACGAGGCCTGAGTTTATAAACGAGTTATCTCGTTCTTAGCATGCAGAATGTAGTTTTACGCAAGAGTATTTCGGGGAAACTTGTCCTGAAGGGAGTATGAAGTTCGTGACACTGGCCGGAGCGTCAAATACAGCCACTTTCAAAGGTGAGGAAACAAATATGAAGGCATATCACATCGCACGTGAAGCCCTATAATAGAATTTGTGGGGAAAAGTGTTGTGTATTCAAAAATTTTATAAATAATGCATGTTTTATTTTTTTACTGTCTACACTAACTTTACAAGTGATGCGAGTGGATGATACTAAATCGAATAGTACTACACTATATGTAAAAACTTTTCTACCTACCTCAGTGCTGATGGAATTTAAAGTGAATTATCTGTCCTAAGAAGCGCTGCGACAGATAAAGTTGGTCACATTGAAATTTCCAACCTAAAAAGAGAATAAAATAATAAGATAGTAGGTATAAAATAAGGGTGAAATGCTTAAACATAAAATGTCATTAAAAATGATAACATATATTTAAGTGTTCTGGGGCTGTTTACCAGGCAATACAATTAAAATGTAGATATTATTAAGCAATACGTTTTAACGGCAGAGGTTATGGGTCCAGAGAGTAGATTAAAATGGAAGACAATCTTAAACGAAGAGTAGATGATGATTTTATAACCAAGCAGTCGTGGCCTATTGTGAGGTAATATATCCCATACATTTCTTTGAGAAATCAGTTTACAGTTGCTAATCAGGATAAGATTCGCTTAACGCGCGCATAACAAAATCGGGAAACACAAAGCAATCGCCATTTGATGTTAAACTAGCGTCAGAATTACTGCATCTCATTGCCTGACAAGACTGGATACCTTTCGACGCAGGTAACAGTCTTAGAGTTTGGCCGCATATAGGATATTGATGAAGCTCCTCATGATACTTGAATAAAACCGCGGATAGCAAAACCGCGTCTAATGAGAGTCAATGTAAGCAAATTCATATGCTCTTACCACTTATATTCTCTTCAGAAGATAAACTTTATTTCATCACACGACAGAAACATGATGTTAACGAAGAAAAATTGACACGCGTAATAAGTAAGAGAAGAAATTATGTTGAGTGGGCGTTTCGATGCAAAATTTCTAATTTCGACAGCTTACAGCGGGCACAAGTCTTTACTCATAGTAATTGCCAAACACTAAGATATCCTTGAATATAACTTCTGAGTATAAATATTTATTGCTGAGTCTGAACAAAGAACTGTTTTCAGAATCTAGAAATAACGCACAACAAAGAAACCTGCGTGAAGGTTAGACTTATTCCCTAACGCTTTCAAATTAAGTTTACTAAACTATACAAGCTCTGTTTAAAATCCTGCAAACCCCATTTTAAACTTGTAAACATTATTTTACGAGCTGGTTAGCTTAAGTGACGCCTTTTCAGATTTGAACCCGGATGTACCACGTTCGTATACCGGCTGCTCTCTGTAAGATTATTCGTGATTTTATTGGTCCGTGGCTATGCTGGGCAGTAGCTCTCGTCCCCACAACGCGCATAATAGATTTACCTATATCTGCGTATCACAAACCACAAACTGGCCACATGACCCACAGCGCTATCCAACTAGTAGTTGATTCATATTGAATACAGTTTCTGTATATATCTGAATTACATGGACGACATCCACAGTAAGTCCGGACGCCGAAAACAGACCCACCTCAAGGAATCTAGTGTTGCTGTACAGTGGTCAGCACTCGATAGAGGTCCTAGACTGGAGTTAAGTAAGGTCTGGAGACTGACTGTTATTTCTAAGGTATTTGCTGGCTTACCTCAGTTCCTACAAGAAGATCCTGTCACAGGACCTTAAAGTAAGTCACGCCGTTTCCTTCCTGCTCCAGCACTCATTATCATCCACCATTCGACAAAGCAACGATTTGTTAAAAAACCAATACACGTAACACTTCTATAACAAGTTAGAATAGCGAAAATTTATATTCAGAAAGTAGCCAAAAACGGTTTGAATTCCGGCCAGGTTACCGACTGAGGCTTGATATGGTTTTACTCAGTTATACCACAACCGCCTCCTTCAGTTGCTTGCCTATTCACAGGACATGATAATTTTACCCGTTACGCAGAAACGTCGTGAAATAACACTCAATCATCTGTGCTCACGCAACTAAACATTTGAGTTGCATTCGTCTGTTCCACAGCCACGGACGTGACAGACATGAATTGGCGTAGCTTTCGGAACACTGCATGCAGATTGTAGTTTTTGAACGATAACACGCAGATATGGCAATGGGTGGGAACCCTGATCGATATAACGGGAGCTACGTTCGCTGGCCACCCAGTTCACTTCCCAAACGACATCACATATTGGCCTATCCACAGTGCAAAACTAAAACCCTGCCAGGAATCAAACTCAGGTCGTCCAGCTCATGGAATATCACTTTATTATGTCATTTTAGACCGTAATTTTTATATATAGCATTATATGTTTAATATTTCCTTCAATTTTGTGACAAATGTGACGTCTTCTTCGTAGCTGAGGGTACGGGTAAATTCCAAATAAATAAAATTGGATAAAGAAGTTAATATTAATTATAGCTTAAATTTATATCTAAATCCTTGAAATCTTAGCTGAAAGCAGTCTGCATGGGGAAGAGAGAGGATTTTAGAAGTTCATAAATTGGGGCACGAGGTGGTAAATGTCAGAAATATCTTCTTGTCTTGCAATTGTTTGAAGCACCCAGCTGCAATGCCTCTACTCACAGAGGAAAAACTGCAGTGAACTTGAACTTCCATGTTCGTACACTCGACTGACTTACTGTGATTATGTACACACACAGTTCTGCACATCATTTTCATTAGTTTCTTAGCAAGATTATTTTCTTCTCACTCACCGCTGTCAACTCTGAAAAGAAATTTCTTGTGTCTTTATGGGACAAAGGCTATTGTTACACTTCTCTTCCTAAAATAATCTTCCTCGCAACTGTTATCTTATAACCTTTCATATGAGTAGTAATATCGATTACACAAACGTTCCAATTAAGCTCGGCAGCAAAACCCCAACGTTCAACACCGCCAACACCAAAACCCGCGATCCTGAGCCAGTTATATCCAACTCCCACCCTCAGAATCTAATTACTTAACATCCACATTAGTGTTTTCCTTCCATTTCCTTTCTGTCTTCCACGTGACCACTTTCAAACATGTTTTCCGACTAAAATTTTGTAGTACAGTATGCATTTCTTGTCTCCCCAATCCGAGATAACTTCACAGTATCACGTAATCAGTATAAATCATAAAATGCCTCGTTACTCAACCTCCTAAATTGTTCACTTACTTCTCACTGCTTAAGGTTAAATATTATCTTCAGAACGTTCTATTCAAACAAAAGTTTATCCAGATAAGATACCGTGTTTCACACCCATACAAAACAATTACTATAATAATGTTCGTGTAAAATATTTCACTTAATGCTTTTTCATGACAGAAGTTTAAAAGTCCAACTGGAAACTACTTCAAGTTCGAATAACTAATCAGAAATTAAACTACATAATTATGCCCGCATATAACTTCGAAATACGCCCAGCAAAGTAAAATGTAAGCCCTTAACCCTTTAAAGCCGAAGATGAAATAAATAATATTTAATAATCCAGTTCCTACGCCCAACTAAAAACATTTTCCGGTTAATAAAATAATTGCTGTTAAGGATACAGCCATTCTTTATTATGAAAATCACATGAAACCACAAATAACATTTGTGCGAAAAATGCAGAGTTGCTAAATGATGAGGCTAATTCGATTTAAGTACCTGATACAGTTTGTAGTAAAAACCATTAAAAGGAACACCTTTATGTAGGTAAAGATTTATGTGAGCTACCTTACACAAACGTCCCGGCATAGTTCCACAGTAACAAGTTTAAGGCCCTTTCAGATACCAGACATGAACAAGGTGCAATTCTATCTATAGGGCCCTTGGAAATAAGCCAGAGGTCCAACGCAGACAATTTATTTAGTTTCTAAGACATGTTTGAAGTAAACTGCGATGAAGCAAACGTCAGTACAGTGCAAGAGTTGTTCTAGCTTACAACGCTTGCTTCGTATTCGGGAGGTCCCGAGTTCAAATCTCGACCCAGAGGCCTGCTATCCTGACTGGGGTTTCTCGTGATTTTCCTCAGTCCCTCCAGGCAAATGCCGGGATACGAGGTCGCGGCTGCTTCCTTCCACATTTATTATTCACTATATATTCGATGCTATGTAATCTCCTCAACTACTGACAAATTATCGTTAAATAAAATAAATTAAATAAGAGCTCTTCTACTAGGAGAACATCATTTCATGTGATTGCAGTGCTAACTTCAATAAAATGGCACACCCTTTAATCATTGCAAATTTCTGCTTTTATTTTGTTTGTAGTAAAGCTCTGCGTATTAAATTAATAAAATTGCAATTCTTTCATCACCACGAATTATGTAGGTTTAGTCTCACTTGCCTGTCTCTTGGCCCTGCAAACGCAGTCGATCATCTCTCAGATCTAGTATACGAAATATGTAATATAATAAACCGAGTTAAAAGAAAACATCATTAATGAAATAAAGGAATCATAATCTGACCAATAAATTATAAAATTATAATACGTTTTACACATAATTAGACAAAAATCTATTCCCACACACGCTGGAAAAGTATATAATTAGTTCTTTACGCCAATCTGTAATTATTCAGAAAATCAACAATCAGATTTAATTGTTCTGAGTAACTTGGATTTGGAACGGCTGTATAAAATAGCATTAAATGCAAGATTTTAACTCGTTTTAAAACAAAATATTTTGAAAAGTGTATCACAATTCTTATTAAATAATTCTCAAATATAATTTAGTATGAAAGTAACTGCCAAACGTGTCATGTTGAACGAATCACTATTATAATGCATGAACTTGTCCGATTTTAAATAATTTTCCCTTTCCTTCCCACTTGATAGAAGCAGAACTAGGTTACAAACGTGCCAAGAAGTACAAACGGGAAGAATTTAATTAGACATTTGCGAAACACTTCTTTTGTTTGCGTCATACACCTGGATTGAAAATAAAGCATCAGATTTCGTGTTTAAGGCGATTATTATGAACATCGCACAAGTTCATGAACTATTTTTGTGACACAAGATGTGAGAACTATTCTTTGCGATATTAATACCCAGGACAGGCAAGTTTAATGTTTTATTTCAGACGCAAAACACCTCAGAATTTCCGAGACTACTATTTTTAAGACGGAAGCTACACATCTATATCTTTACGTAAATGACAAAAACTGCGACCGAATCCTAAACTTGTTATCTTTTATGACGACCAATAGACTATAGTGCATTCAGAGGGTTTCAATAAAACACAGAAAACTATTTTACAATCTGCACAGTATTGTATCTCCATCGGCGATCAAGC